ACTTCCAGTTTCGCTCGCGATCGCTTAACTTCTAAACCACTGAGCCGTTCGCGTGCAAGATCGAAGGTTCTGGGTCCGAGTCCAGCGCGTGCATTGCTGAGTCCCATACTGGGATGAAACGTCTGTGAATTTCTTCCAGGCTTCCAATGATGGTCTAGCTTAAATCGACTCATGAATTCAAACATTAATTTACCACAATCTCCACAAACCCCCATTCAGATAATTTATATAGCTTGAAACGTCTGAAAAAAAGTTTGTTTTACAAAACTCATGAGATAGTAAGAATCATTATAACAACATTTAGGATCATACATTTTGTGGTGAGCACTTTATTAAGCTTAAATCTTGAGAGAATAGCGAGAAGACGGGGTTGATTTTTAGAAAAATGTGATTTATTTACGCTATACATTTTGAACAATTAGGTCACATATATGTCAAGGCATTTCATATGAAAACTAATAAAAGCCAATTACTATTTCATACTTTGAACTTTCTTTTAATATTGACATTTTTGAATTTTTTCACATAGATGCTTTCACAAGTATATCTGTGAGCAGATTGTTCTAAATGTATAACATAAATAAATGAATCAACTCCATCTTCTTGTTTAATCTAAATTTATTAAAAGGAAAATGTAAAGTACTTAATTATTCTCTTTTCTTACATAATCATCTTTAAATAAAGGAAGGTTTAGTTCTTTTCAAAGTGTTATACGGTTAGCTTGAAGCCAGCTTATCAGGTATAATAGATTAATATTGTTGTTAACCGATTAAAACATATCTTTTTTGTGAAATGACAATCTAGTATAAGAAACTAATACTTGATAAGAGTTTTGTTACAATAAATATCATTACCATATCTCTTATATATAAATTGTTGTAAGAAAACGTAACATAATACTTAATGAAGTATCTATATTGTTATCAAATCAATGTTAACAAAGATTGATCAATCAACAATTCAGTTTTAGGATTGAATATAAATATCAGATTGGTTAGTTGTGCTTATAAATTGCCTGAATCTGTTTGTAAATGCCATACATTTTATATGTAGTAAACTTTCATCTCATGTACTTATTGGTTTATTGCTTCATGTATAAACCTTTGAATAGATTGATTGTATTTATAAAGATCAGTATTTATTTTTAGAGTACATTTGATTAGTATTATCGTAATGATTCCATCTTTTAGTTTTCAATAATTAATTGTATAAACATTTGAAGTTAATACAAATATCCTACCATCTTTTAAAGTTGTTCTTTTCTTAAATAATATTGTAATTTTTAGACCACCCATTATGTAATAAGATAAAATAATGAGTAACTTAGTTCCCTATTGTTATGAAAACATATAAATTTGAATGATTATGTAGGTTAATAAATAAAAGAACTTTCGTTTATCATAAAATACGTTTACATATAATTTAATAGTTGACATATTTTATGGATATTTCATGTGGTGCTATAAACTCACCGAACTAAAAACACTTTATTAAAACAATAATTTAAGAAATAATTAAGTAAACGTCAATTATTGATTACAAGTAGTAAATGGTTGGTATCTAGGAAAGAGTAAACAAAATTAAATTTCAACAAGATTTAAAATAGTAAGTGTTCAAGTATCACTTTACGGTTTAGTTAATCCAAATACATGAATATCGATGGCCTGATTTAATTGTCAAGTATGTTCGATGTAAACACCAATCAGTACTTCATCAAATGTCTTACTTGTTATTGAGGAGAAAGATATGGCATATATGTTGTTTCTCATAGTTTCAATCATCATAGTATCCTATCTAGTCCTCAGATCAATACTTGGAAGAACTGATGTATCTGCTTCATCCTGATGTGGGACTCTTTAGTAGTGATTTTCAACGAATGTTCGTCTAAAAACCGAACCCGGAACCTTCGTACTCCCAGGCAAACGTATCCATCCAAGTAATTTATGGTACTGCGCAAACCTTATCCACTCCTTATAGTGAATAATTATCTCACATTCGACACGGTTAGATTCCACTCGTTACATCTCACTAGTACTCCTAGAGTTTATTTTTGAAGTTAGTCAAGAATAAGAACATTATTTTTGGTATAGAATACCATTCTGTGCTTTCAGGTTTTCAGCGATATTCTGGCTAAGACCTGTTTGTGGTTTAAACTATGAAAATACAAAAAGCTCCGCGAACCCCTTTACATTAAATATAGTTTTTTTTAGTTATCTGTAAAATAACTTTCAGACGCAATCTTATTGAATGAGTTTTCGAGTATCATACGTCTAAACATAAAAGTGATTTAATTACACTAAACACTCAATTTTACGGTTTCACTAAGATGGATTTATGATCTAACTTTAAGATAAATATCCTATGTCTAAAATTGCTTACACTAATCGCTATTGAGCATTGAAACACTATTAATTTACATATATACTGAAACTGTGATGCAATTGGTATGGATCAAACGTTTTTATTTCTTCAAAGAAAAATGTGAGTACAAGTTAGTAAGTTGTCAAACTCACAAACGAAGTGATTTATATTAACAAACTTTACTTAAAGATAGACAATAAAAGATACCTGAGAGAGAAAAAAATGAAGTAAATGAGTAAAGAGAATAAAGGGAAAGATAGAAAAAATTCCAGAAAATAAAATTTAAATAAGTATTAAGAAGTCATAGAAATCTTTGTCATTTAAATTAAATGGATTAATACAAGTAATCTGTATACGTGTATTCAGTATAGCAGATTCTGTGAAAAAAATATTTCCGATGCAGATGAGGCATATATAGACGTTATACATATGAAGGGTTATTCACTGATCAATATTTCCTAGTATATATCTTGTTAATACTTTTAAAAGTTTTGTTACCTAATCTCTTGAAGATTGATTTCTTTACCATTCAACTATAGATTCTATTGGATTCAATCATGTCAATGTATCAGTTAAATACTGCTTATTTTTAAATATTTCTTTCTTTATTTAAACTGAGCTAAATAATCTTCTTTTTGAGCACATTAAAAATACTTGATTATAAGTAATTTATTCAGTTTCAGAGAATTCACTGTTAGTGTTATCTGTAAGGACTGTCTTTGATATCGTAATCTTGAGCAATAAATACTCTTCATAACTTCAGTTTACTTGGTGCTACATCATTTTATGATTAATCATTTTCTAGACAACTTCAATCTAATATGTTTTATTTATATATCTAAATGACCACCTAGAATTAATATTATATTAAATAAAGGTATTGTAAAAGTGTTCTAAATCTTTCGATCACAATTATTTATGATTAACTGTAGAGAAATTAAATCATTCAAAATCGATATTGTGCTTTTATGATCTAAAAATATATTTGGCTAAAATTACCATATATAAACATAGTTGAATGTTGGCTAATAGTGGAATTTAGGACACTCGTTTTCAGGATTTACCTGCATCCCAGAGTTGATATTCCCTCCAGAACTCAAATCCAGTACCGTTGGTATCAAACGCTGTCACATTATCCACTTAGCTACTGGGTGCAAATAGTCATTGGTTTGGTTGTTTTAATCTTCTTATTGATGTTTAGGACTACAATTGATCAGTTTCCTGTGCCATTTGTACATCCTGTGCAGATCGTATCGGTATTGTCTTAAGTCACAAGGATATAAGCTGATATGGATGGTGGGTAACTGTGGAATCTTGGACACACATTCCGTCCTATTTAAACAATCTATACAAACGAATCAGAAATGTTCATTTGTTTAGTGTTTTGTTATCTTTATAAATTCTCACGGACAATCACATATTTACTCATTATGAACCCGCTACACATTGACTCATATTGAATTGCCGAAAAGTTGATGAAAAGTCTTTCAAAGTATCTGTGATTACAAATAGTCAATAGCGAATATTGCTTTATTCGATGTTCGAATAGAAATTAAACCGGTTGCATAAAATAAATATTTAGCTTACATACTATTATTATGATAAACTAGGATAAGACATATTATTTACTATTTAATTCATTAGAGAGTTAAAAGCTTACTAAACTGATATTGATCAATCGTTTATGACATTTATTAATACTATTTTTACTGTCAATAATTTGTACATAAGCATGTTATTTTACTGCAAACGACTTAATCGTTTGCTTAATGGTCTATCGTTCACCTCAAATCATTTAGTAGACTTATCTTAATGATTCATTCTTACAAGCAGCCATCATACAAACACTTTTATGGTGTCAATCAATTATCATTTTTATTTAGTTTATTTAAACAAATGAACAACTGATCATCAAACCATTGAAACTCTAATTCATACTACTTTGAATTAAAAAATAGGTTTGCCTCCATGATTAAACGAACAACCTAAAAGGTACATCTGTTACTCAGTATGATGAAGCTAAATTTTCATAGTGTTACTTTCATTTTTTAAGACTATAAAATATCATATTGTAGTGAATAAAAACTCAGATTGGAGAAATCACTCTCTTTTTTAATGCAAAATTACACAGTACCTTTATAACATTTGTAAATCCTATATTAAATATATTGTTTGCACATCTTTTTTTTGCGTTGTCCTTAACCTACTCCATTATTCCTTCAATTCTGTGGCTATTCCCATTGCTCTCTGTTTCTCTTCCTGTTCTCTTTAATTCAATCTTCTTTTGCCAAACATTCTACTTTTGATTGCGTCTACATACTACTTAAATCTGTCAGTACGAGTAGCATATACCACTAGATGACAATCGATATTACAGAAAATCTAATATCAGCTAGCTATAAAATTTTTCCATTATTTATAGTTCAACTGCTCTATAAGCTATAATACAGTGAAAAAAACACAATAACATGTAATTGTGCTATGGTTAAACGTCTTGATTATTTAACTCAACTCTTTTTCTACTTGACAGAAACTTGTTATATAATTTTCGACATATGTAACTGAAAGAGTGTTGTTTTTTCTATATTAGTAAAGTCAATTTGTTTGAACTTTGTATTATTTGCTTTTTTGTATTGTAGTTGTTGAACAATCACAAATTCGGTGTATTATTATGCCGAAAAAATCAGTCAACTGAAGAAGAAATGTACAACAATGGTAATTTATTTTTTATTGTTTTCTTTTTTGTTATTATTATTGTTGTTTATTTTAAAAGCCTCAAAGTATTCAGTGAAATGATGCTTCATTTTTGTAGTTCTAATGAATCATGAACAATGTTCGTAATCACTTGTTGAGATTAGATGGTGGTTGGAGGTAGTCAACAGGAAACTCTAAACCACGGTTTCGTGCAACTTGGCACTCATCAGCAAGGTTTACCAGTAATCTTGAGGGAACTGGTGCTCCCTGACGGATTTGATCCCGTGTCACTCAGCTTCACAGTCAGAGACATTACCACTGAGCTCTCCGAGACGCGACCGAATTAGTGTTTTAGTGATGGCAGCAAATTGATGTGATTTACAGGTTATTTTTCATTAACTTGTGAATTATAAGTTTATTGTTTCTATAAAAAAGATGAAAATGAGCAATGATAGTGTGATAGAAATTCATAAGTTTGCTATTTGAATATAAGTTATACGTAAGAACAAGTTTTGAATATTTGAACATCAAAATTCTAACTAAAGTTCACATATAAAAATGTATCAGAAGTAAGTGATCATAACTAAACATGGATTTATAAGCAGATATGAATAGTGGCTAGCAGTGTAATCCAGGACGCTCGTTTCGTCCTATTCGGGACTCATCAATTGGATGCACCTGCGTCTTAGAGTTGATGTTCACCGTGGGACTCGAACTCAGTGTCGTTTGGTTCAAACGCCATCGCGTTATCCACTTAGCTACTGAGTTTTTACAGCCACAAATAAGCAACACCAAGTGAATTTAAAACTTCACCCCATTACACAAGTAAGTGGCTATCAGGACGGTAGTGGGTTCGAGTGCCAAAGTAAACATCAACTCTGAGATGCAAGTACATCCAGTTGGCGAGTCACAAATAAGTAGAAACGAACCTCTGGGATTCCAGTGCAAGCCACTATCCATCTTCTCTTACAAAGCTTCTGACCTAAGGCAATATCGAGACAGTCCGTACAGTATTCACAACATACGCCAACAAGAGGCTGATCGATTGCAGTCCTAAATAACGATGGGAAGATACATGTAAACGACACCAAGTCAATCTAAACGTGGATTATTTAAACGAATTTAAACTTCTGTTGCATTAACCGATGTTAGAGCTTGGTTATAGTATGACGGATAGGTTACTTTGTGCGTAATAAGCATAAATTCACTTAGTTTACCAGTGAGATTTATACATTAAAAAGAAGTAGTAGTTATTTGTCATCTCAACCTCAACCTATGTAAGAAAAACTAAATTTATAGTTTACCTTGTATTGTTATTGTAACTGATTCACTATCATCCTTCTTCATTTCTTTACTTTTTACAAAACCGTCCAATTTTTTTTGATTTTTCGACCTATAATCTTCACGAACATTCTTCTACTGTATTTCCAGATTTTCTTTCATTCTAATAGCACTTTCATCATTCACTTTACTCAACGTTTTATTTACAGTTAGTCTTATAATTCTAACTTTAACCAGTGAAGTGTTTAATCCTCGATTAGATAATCAATCCATGTAATTATTTTAATCATATCTTCATCAATTATCAACAGTGTCACTGCTGAGGAGTCCCATACCAAGGCGAAACAGCCATCTAATGTTTACGGGTTTTCATTAGTTGTTTAGCTCAGATTGACTTGTGAATTCAACTTGAAAAGTATCACTATTATTATGACTAATTTGTGAATGTGTTTTGTTAATAATCATTAATTTTATTATTTCATCTACCATAAACATAATATTTAAGAAGTGATTCTCACAATCACCTACATCAAAGCTTTTTTCCGCTTATTCCGTTTGTCTATAAATTAATGTTGTATAATTGTTGATTACGATTATAATTAATCCTCATTAGTAAACTAAATGACTTGACACTTATTATGCACAAACTTACATTTGTAAAACATTTTTTTTGTTCATGCTAACCCGTGCATATTGCCGAAGAGTTAAATCATGTAGAATGAAATAAATTTAATTCATCCTATGTTTTGATTGTTTTTACTTTACAAAAGCACACTAAAGAAAATAAATGCTTGAAATTTGTGATCAAGTTCAGATATACAGTTGAAATGGTTGTCGGTCAACATAACACCGATAAAGCAAAAAATTTAGTGATATCATGAACTGATTTAAGAAAACTACTGGAAACCTGGAAACACTAGACGGCCGTTTCATCTTAGCAGGAAACTCATCAGAAGTACACATCTTCTACTCTCTTCTGTTGATAACATCCGCACACTTGACATGGTTGAGAGCTTAAACGTTTGCATGCAAGATCAAAGGTATTTAGTCCGGTTGCTGAGTCCTAGATCGTGAATGTACATTCTTGTTCAGTCCCATACTTCCAGGTTTCCATTTGTAGTCTAGTTAAAATCAATTCATTATTTAAGTTTGAAAAACTGTGCAATCTTCACAAAACTTTTTTATGCTAGCAATTTTGATTACGATTATTTCCTTAATGAAGCTTAGACCAGTTTACCGGGTATTGCTTTGAAATAACGTAAATTTTGATATCTGGGGTCTCTCAAATATCATTTTGTTATCTGAATCTAATAGTGACCTATTGAGTTTAAGCGCTTTTTGGTTATATATGAATGTAGTTACCCGCCATGGTAAAAGTTAATTTATGAATTTTATCTTCTCAAAACAATCTTCAGTTTAGAAAGTTTCATTCTTCTCAAACTAATTCATTACGTCAATAATTTTATCTGACTACCCAATAATGTTATACAGAATTCAGAGTAAATATTTTCAGTAGAGAAAACTATTAGAAAGTATTTTGTGATATATTATCAATGATTAGATGAAAGTATTTGGTTTAGATTTCTCTACTATCAAGCAGATTCACTGGTTATCTAAGGTCATTTTGTGATGCACACTATATATATCCAATAACTTTCACAAACTCTTTATAGTATTAATGATAATCATGTACATACTAGTAACAAATATTAAGAGGAAATTCCTAAAGTCCTACTAAGACTCCATGACTAGTGAAATTCAACCTTATGGATTGTTAGACAATTACCTTCCAATCACTTCAGAAGACATTTGTGTAACATTGAAAAATGACCTAAAGTAAAATTGTGAATTACTCAATGTGAAGGCTAAACGTTGAGTGCAAAACTTGAAAGTCTTTGATTCTATCCATGTCTGAGTCACAATCATAGATGGGGTATTCCATACTGATGCAAAATAGCCGTCCAGTCCTTTCTTTTTCCAGTGTTTGTCTAAAGTTGATATGGGATATAAACTTGAAAATGATACTAAATTTATTCATGTTACAGGCAATAATCTCTAACAATTTAAGTCATCCAAATTAGTTTTATAATATTTGGAAAAAGATAGTAAAAGAAATCATTATTGATCATACATGTTTGTTTATTAGACCCTTAGTTACTTGGTTTCGATACTTCTCTCTCAACTAAACACTTTCATATATTCAATTTAAACAAAATACTTGTAATAACAACAATATTTTCCAACAATATGCGCTAGTTTAAACCATTCGATATTCATGATATGATTGACTGTTAGTCATGACTACATTTACAATCATAGCAAAACAAGTCTAATGAAAGCGTTTAATTTCTGGACAAAAAATAACGGAACAATGAGAAATAAATAGAGAGTCACTATTTAAACAAACAAAAACGAAACGATTTAACCTATTAGTAAATTAACGAAGATTTTTTAAACGTTTCATAATAATAATAAGGACACTGATTAAAATATTAAGTAATACTTGTGATTACGTAAATATTTTTTCTACTCAGAAAAATATTGATTTGTCAATTACTTTGGGTAATTAAATATGTAATTAATTAGTTAAATAAAAAAAATAAATGTAGTACCATTAACCAATTGAAAGAATAATGATGTTAATGAATTGTTTAACAAATGGTTATGTGAAATGTATATTTTCTTTTGTAAGGAAAAGTTTACCTTGTGTCTTAATGGAAATATAAGTTTGAAATTTTAGTTTGATATTAGAGTCCTAACATAGAATGAAACGACTGTTCAGTGCTTCCAGGTCTATCTTTAATCGATTAATGATCCCAACTATTAAAACAAATTACTGTAATATTCACAAAACCCTTCTGATATTGAAAAATTCATTGCTTGTTTATTGAATATGTTACATAAATTAAAATTATCAAATGCAAATGGATTCATTTGGGTTTCAATCAAGTTATTAAGAATACCACGCATCAAAATGTGTCCATGTTGAGCTAGAACAATCCAAACATGAACACTTATCATCAAATTAATATCTCCTACTAATCATCACTATGGACGTATACTTGACAAATTCATCTGTATTAGATGTTTTACAATTACAACTTCCCTATTTATATCAATGTAGTCTACAACATGATTCAGTGAACGTTGAAAACACGTTAGTTATGATACTCAAAGACAATTTTATGTTTATGTAAACATTATGGATGGGTATAGGACACGTCCAGATGGTCAGTGTCAACTAGTTAATGAATCCTTTGACAATTATCTCAAGAACATTCCTTCAGTTTCCTTCCACAATATTTAAATAGCATAAATTATATCATTAAACTTACTTTTTGTTTCCATATATCCAATATCACTCTTTATGCTAACATTCGTTAGTATAAATGACTAGAAATAATTATCAGTGTTAATTCATTGTGTAAGTAGGAAGACGTTTCATTTCTTTCAAACAGTCTACTACACATGGAATATGGTGGTGTGAGTGTAAACAACACAAAATCGCTTGTTATGCTCTTTTAGGATTGTTTATAATGATGATATTGGATGGTAGATTACTTATACTTAATATGATTGGACTCCAGTAGTCAATGGAAATTGACTGAAGTTTATCCAATATAACTGTTGATAATAAAACAAAACGTTTTTTTGAATAGGATCTTCATTCTTACATTATATGTAAAACATTGTTTTTTGTAATAAACCAAAGAATAGCTTGATTTTATCTTTAAACTGAG